TTTTTTTTTTTTTTTGTAGAGTAATGGTAAAATAGTGTACTTCAGTCACAATCAATGGGGGAAAAAAGCTTTGGTGACCTCCCTCAGCTGAAATAAACAGAAATGGGAGCCCAGTTAACCTCAGTGCAGCTTGGAGAAGAGACCACTTGAACTATGTGCGTCTGGGCTCCGGGAACTGCACCTGTGTAAAGGCTAAGACAAGAGATCAGGTGGAAAGCAGAAGAGCAGCTGAACTTAGTGTGCTATGTAGAATCTGTCAGAAAGTGAGACTTTAAAACAGTGGCCATTATGCCTATAGTCACAGTGTAGAGAAGATGAGGCAGGACGAATTCCAAGATGCATTCCAGCCTCGTCTGGGTTGTCATGTATGATCCTGTCTCATCAAACGCTCTGAAGTCCAAAGAAATGAGTCACATGAGGGTAGAGAAGGCCCTAGAACAGACTACAGGAACTGGAATGTACCTCTGGAGCTAGACCAGAGCTGCTGGCATCCTTCCATATAGTTGGCCTTCGCTCTCTCTACATGGGTATGTTTCTACACTGAGCCCAGCTGAGTGATTAGAGAGGCGTCTCAAAGGCCTATCACTCTCTGTTTGGCCTTTGAAGAGGGGACTCTCTAGATTGTGCAAAGTACACGATTTAGTTTTTAACTTTGATTTTCCAGGAAAAAGTCCAGTTAGGGTGATAGTAAGTGCCACTGAGGTCAGAAGAAAGCAAGCTGGGCACCGTGTTAATCCACAGTTACTGAGATGTACCTGCTTGTTTTTTGTGTGTACCTCAGCTGATGAATAACCTAATCTTAAATTTGGGGTTATAGTCTTTTCATTTAAGAGAAGACTACAGATCATAGCTTCCTTCAGAGGGAACAGGCTTAAGAGAAAGTGTGCATGGCAACAAGGTGAGGAGTTTGCAAAGTGTTCACCTATTACAAAAGACAGCCCATGGTACAGTACCAGTCAGGTAACCCTTGGAGGAGGGCTTGCTTCTGTAGCCAAATTTTTGGAATTTCCAAGAGAAATTTTATGTGTACATTTCCAGTGTTTATATGTTAGCAACAAATATATATATATATTTCCTTCAAGATCACAACAGCAACAAAACATCAACAACAAAGCCCCGATGGCCTATCTGTTCTTAGGATCAAAGGGTAGAAAAAAGGTAAAACTGGGAATTAGGGAGCGCAACTAGTATGCCACAGTTGCTCTGCTTGCTGTAAGGAGCACAGCCTCAGCACATCTGTTTGAATGCAACCTATGGTCAGGCTGAGAAAAGCTCTTGGCTTTCAGGTTTTTCCTATGAGGAACAGAGATTGGAGTCAGCTTTCAAGCTTCCACCTTTTTTTTTTTTTTTTTTAGCTCAAACTCACAAAAGGGATCAGGTAAGAATCATGGTTGAGCTTCCTGTTGGGCCTGCTTGTATGGCCTCTTTCAATGCCTCCTTCAGAGCCTGGCTCACACTCAGAGCTTTGCTAAGAGGTTAAGAAGCTTTAAAAAACAGCAAGAAAGGTTGTTCTGTTAATATTTCAAACCGACACTGTCTTGGTATACCTTGCTATTTCTTCCTCTGCCAGTAGTTGTGTAATTTTGACAGACTGCATCATATAAGGAGAAATGATCCAGACTATGAGTAAAGTTGCAACAGGGCTTTAGTGTCTTGAAAAGGACATAATAGCAATGTTAGTCCTAGAAAATAAATTATTTTCCCTGTGAAAGTCAACATAACCCTGCCTATGTATTAGCATGGGCTCTTCTCTCTGTAAGTAAATTAGGGTATATTTCTGAGCTGTTGAGCATTCTGCAGTGTCTTTTTGTTTGTTTTATAATAATCAGGTAATATCCGCCTTTTTTGTTATTATAAAATATGTTACTTTCTTGAGCCAAATTTTTGTTGTTGTTGTTGTTATCAAAAATCAGTTAAAAAAAAAAAAAACAAGCTTGCCTATAAGGAGGGAGCCCTATGTGCTAGAGGCGGAGTGCTGGGAACTGTGGGATGGAAGGACGTTGGGGATGGTGCTGTGCATGGAAAAACCTGAGCTTCCTTGCCATCCCACACAGAGGCCATTTCCCTGACTGCCAGTGACTTCTCCCAACATGTTCACTCTGACAAGGTTATTCCTTTCTTGACTCCTTACTGACTGGCCCTTTCCTGTAGACTAGTGAACACACGGGCTGTCCCAGCCTAAACTAAAGTAGACCATTTCTCCCTGTTCCTGATCCAAGGAGAATAGTCTGGGTGTCTGAGTTGAGGCTTCTGTCTAGTTTGGAGTCTGACAAGGAATTCCGAGCTCCATAATAAAAAATATGATGACTCTAGTTAGAGAAGAGGGCACTGGAGACAAGGCAGCACCTGTAGGAAATAATAAATTGAACCTGGTTTTCTCGGGATTTTGTAAAAACAAAACAACAAAAAAGCAAAACAAAAATGATGTCCTATCTTAATAGTTTTTTTCTCTTCCTACTTCTAGCAAACCTTTATATAAAAATAATCTTTAAAAATGAAATGCGTAGCCAGGCACAGTAGCACACACCTTTAAACCCAGCACTCAGGAGGCAGAGGCAGGTGGATCTCTGTGAGTTCAACCCTGGCATGATCTACAAAGCAAGTCCAGGAGAGCCAAGGCTGTCAACAGAGAAACTGTCTTGAAAAACCAAAAATAAATAAATAAATATTAAGTGCTTATTACATAGGTAGATATTAAGTAAATAAAGGTTTGAAGGTTTTGGTCCTAAGAAAATCTGTCTAGCTCATTGTTTTCACTGTTTTGCAGAACAAAATTAGACTGATGCCGAAGCAGTTTAGTGTGCTGGAAAGGCCTGGATTCTAGTTTCAACTGGAACCATTGTTCTGCATGGACAGTCCCAGCAAATGATGAGCCCTTCATCTTCTCCCCTCTAATAAACAAGGTCATAATGATGGCACTCTGAACACATCCTTGTTGTGAGTCAGAGGAGAGAACTTCAAAAAGCACATATGTTTCCTACTGAAGATCCATGGCCGTTTCTAAGCAGTAAACACCACTGCTATCTTCCTGTAAATATAGGCTTCCTTAAAACACTTAGGAAGATATTGACTAATGAACGGTGAATTCTTTTAAAGCCAAACTTATCTCAGAAGAGATTTCGTCACTTCTTTTGTGACTTTTTGGATGCTTTGGAAAATACCTGGAATAC